ATAAACCTTGCTGGATTGAATCTGCATGGTCTCCTGGAGTTCCCTGGGCTAAACCTGACATGAGGACTGAAAATGATTGGAGGAAAAGTACTGTATAAAAAGGACAAAGTAAAATACAAATCACAAATATTACAAAGGTCTTAGCCCCATGAGTTCCATACTTTGCCCACTCCTATTGAAACTTTGTATGGCTTCAAAAAATGGCAATCAATGGATCAAAAAGGCCAGTGAATGGCTTATATAAAATACATATGCTATAAAGCTTTTTAAAAAGTTTAAATATAAAACTTAAAATATTTCATTCTGGAATTACACAATCTCTGAATCATTTAGTTATAAGTCTTATGGAACTGTAATAAGAACACTCTAATTTAGTTTCACCAATCTGGTGCTGTCCCAACATGCTGGGATTATAACTGATATTATTCATGGACTACTACAATGAATATATGTGTTATTAGAATCCATCAAGTAATGAATCTTGTTTAAATCACAGCTATGAAGCTATCTTTTAATTAATAAGGATGACCACCTAGAATTTTCAGATTATTATACATCACAGTTCAGTACAATTCCTTTTTCCCTTTATTGTTGCATCTAACCTTCCTTGACATTCACCAGAGGTCTGATGTGCATATACAAAATTGCACAGAGATTATAAATACATTCGTGCATTAATTTTATTTTTGTCTTGTAATGTTTTGGGAAGACTTTGATGTTCATAGAAATGCACATAGCATTACACTGAGTGAGGCAAAATTAAGCCAACTAAAGTCAATAGAGAATGCTAAAACTCGTGTGGACTGTAATAAAAAAAATAAGATCTTAATTTAGGATGTTTTGATAAAAATATTGGTTTAAAATTTTGATTTGAGATGATAAACAGAGGAAGGTGTTTTACTTGGTAGAAGAGAAAGCACAAATGCTCCAAAAATGTTCTCTGATCTGCTATGTCCTTGGAAAGAAAGTACAGTCAACGATATAGAAAATAACTTTCAAAATATAAAAATTCTTTGGGAAATCTAAACGCTGCTCTTTTTGGAAGCCCATACTTTTATTCTCACTCTATCATATTCAATTTTTTTTCTCCTACACTCTTGATTCCAGAATATGAAGTATCCATGAGACCTCTGACAGAACTTACAATAGCTACATGGATGTTCTTTCCTGTGGGGCCCAGTATGACTACTACGATTGTATGTGCATATGTCCTGGAGACGGGAGGAACTATGTTATAATAATTAATTACATTTTAATGCACATTTGAGAGAACATATTTTCATAGAAATGTCTTAATTAGAAAAACACTTAATATCAGAGCTAAAATTAAAGCACACTATATACAGCACCATGCTTGTATTTACAAGTATTGTGTACAGACATTATTATTAAAATTTATATACTGTCTCTCAGCTGTTCAAAGCACCATACGTGCGATCATCCATTTATTTCCTCACAACCTTGTGAGGTAGCTTAGGGAAGGGGAGAATGAATGGCCGAAAGTCACCCATTGTACTTTATGTCTAAGTAGGACTCTGAATGCAGCCTCTGGTCAGTTCTGTAATGCTGCACCACACCAGCTCTTATCTCAGTAGCTTTAAATCAACTGCTGAGTTAAAACTGGCTTTTGGTAAAGATATGCTAATAGGCAAAGATCAATTTACATTTGATTTTCATATGGTCATTTGTTTAATATCCAGAAGGATTTTCTACCCAAAGGAGCAGCTTCTGAGAGCTTTTGCTGGATGTTTCTTAACTAAGACTATATCTAAAGTGTTCTTTTCATGCTGTTTCCTCTCCAGTTTCACAGAGGTCTTTGTTCTCTTCATTCCATCTGTCCCCCAGAGAAATCATATGCAAAACATGGAGTTTTTCCAGCCAAATGCTTTAACAAATAGCAGAAATTCTGTACCACCTGAATGAGGTAGTTTGGAGGAGATCTGGCCCCCAGTTTTTATACTGGAAAATGAGGCAGCAAGGAAATGCTGGATACTCTGCAAGATGAACATATATTGTGTTATATTCTATCCCAGCTTCACTGTTGTTTCCAGGGTTGATTTTTGAGTTATACAACTCTGCCAGGCAGTGGGACTTTATCAAATACAACTTCTCCATAAATGGAAATTATCCCAGTTAAGCTTCTGGCACAAATCTATAGTGCCCTGATGTTTGAAAACAGTGATGATGGTGGCAGTGTGGCAGTTCCCCGAATGTTTAGCACACTCAGAATGCTTTTCAACTCAGCACTGGATAGGTTGCCCTTGATGTACAAGATGGCAGACAGATGTCTCTTGCTGTGTTGGAAAGAGAAAAACAAAGCATGAGAAATGACAGTAAAATAGGGAGAAAAATGGCCAGATGAGATGAGAAACAGCAAATCTGGGAATCTCAGCTTTGTGTACATTTATAAAGGACACCAACAGATACTCAAAGCAAACCGAAACATACTTCAATATGCCTCTCTCAGCCGCAAAAGTAGCACAGAAAAGGATGAATGCAAAAGGAAGAAGCTCATGTGACAAATATTTCCTGTTGGAGAGCTCAGTGTTGCTTGTTTTTTCAGGATAGAAACTGCCTCTCATCCTCTTGTTATTCATTATACATGAGGACTAATAGAAATTAGTTTCTGGATCATTTCCTTAACTGAGAAGGACTGCTGCCTTCATGGAGAGTATGACTCACCATGCAAAACTCCTTGTGTGAAGTCCTTATCTTTTACTTTCCATCAGGAATGGGGCAACTAATTAGTCTCTCTTAGGTTGCCTCCTTTTTCCATTATTTTAATGCAGTTGTGAAAACAAGCTTTTTGATACTGGAGTATCCTAATGCTATTGCTGTTCAGATGACAGACATGTGCTTGAGTCAGCAATTTCCTCTGCTTACTGCCTACGTTTCCTAGATCAGTGTTCCCAACCTTAGCAACTTTAAGATATATGGACTTCAACTCCCAGAATGGCTGGTTGGGGAATTCTGGGAGTTGAAGTCCACATATCTTAAAGTTGCTAAGTTGGGAAACACTGTCCTAGATGGATTATACCATCCAACTGCAGCAAACTTTGAGGTATATCATGTAGGGCAGTTCAAGGACGATCCACCTTTTCTTTCTGCTTGTGTCCTGCCGAGGAGCCACGAAAGGTATGGCTGAGCAACTGCTGTGTGACTTGGATCAGTGCAGCAGAAATGTTCATTTTTTAATTTTATTTTAAGGGCACAACATTGGTCCCTTAAGCCATCTGAGGGCAACCATTTTGGGTCGAAGGACTGGCTTTAACATTTTGGAAGATGAAAAGTTGCAGAATACTGTATAAGACAGAATGTTGCAGAATACATACATAGATGGAAAATGGTGTGTAACACTAGCAAGGCTGATGATTTTAGGGAGAATTTTAATGAATATAACCTTACCAGTCTTAGTGAAGTAAGTCAGGGAAGAATATTCACACATTCATGTTTTAATACACAATTAACCATTGATTTAACGGAGCTTATTGACTTTGGACTTAATGGGCAAAATCTAAGCAGGAATATGCCACAATGGAATATTAGTGGCAGTGGCTAAGGGGAAGGAGGAAGGGTGGAAAGGATAACCCTGGGATGATCAGAGGATATGCTGCACTGAAACACTGATAGTAGCAACAGCAGCAGTTATAGGGAGGGAGGGAAGGTGCTGGGAAGTGCAGGGGGAGATGGGCAGGCTGATGGGATCAGCTAGAGCAGTGTTTCTCAACCTTGGCAATTTTAAGATGTGTGGATTTCAACTCCCAGAATTCCCCAGCCAGTTCTGGGACTTGAAGTCCATACATTTTAAAATTGCCAAGGTTGAAAAATACTGTGCTAGAGCTTCAGTGGTGGCAGCAGAGGGGAGGGAAGAAAAGGAAGATGCCGGGAAGATCAAGAGATGGATAGGCAGGGAGCTTATTGTTAAGGTTACCCACCCTCACTTTTATGGGCATTCAGTTTTAAAGGAGCCTCTTCTCCCTTATTAGTCTATTAAATGGAAGGTTTACTTACTTCTATCAGCCTTTTTGGATGGCATGTTAGATCATATCTGATTAGGTGGTGTCAGTAAGATAGAATTCATAGTACATCTGCTGTTACACTGCCTATATTATAGAAACTTCTCTCAGCTAAGACTCCAGGAAATGCCAAACAATTATATAGAAAATTCTTATTATGAGATTAATCTCCAGAACAACTGAAAAAGTGATGACCTTTTATGCTAAAGAACGTTCAATACGTGATGGGATTGTATGTCTGCAATTATCTACTATTGCTTTTATGTGATCTAATATGTGCTTACTCGCATATGGATGTGAGAGTTAGCTTTCACACTGTCGGATAGAAACAACTTGATAGCAGATCTGACCATTGTCAAAACAAGCGGCAGACGGACTATGGGCCTCCCACTCTAACAAAGGGGTTGGACAGCCTGTTGCACAGGTCAGGCAAGAGATAAAAGTGCACAAGTGTCCAAATCTTGATCCTGTAAACAGGATTTAACAACACTTGCTAGAATTGACTGGTTGGTTTCAAATGGCAGGCAGGACTGAAATCAATTAGGCAAGCTCACACATATCCAAGAACTTATAATAGGTAGTATTTTATGGAACAAAACTTAGAAAACCGTAACAAAATAATTCCAGTGACTCTTGTTGGTGAGATCTTCTATCAAATTGTTTCTGTCTATGGCAGAACTAGTTCTCACAGTGGACGCAGCAGAATTTGCTGGCGGGGGGACTTTTAGAGTTTACAAGAAACTTTGCTGTCTTGTTTTCAGTAACAGTGGTTAGAGGGAACTCTTACATAAATGGAATTCTGTTGCTGCAAATGGGATGCTGGGAGATTGACCATCCCTGGTGTAGATGGTAACGTACTGGCTCAAAACCTCAGAGGAATCAATCGGCACTGGGTTAGCGCTTAAAAGCAATTTCATAAGATTTTTCCCCCTTACCTGAAATCAGGATATTTAGTGGCAAGCACACTGACTTCAACCATAATAGCATCTAGATCTTGAAGTCTGATGATTTCAGACAGGCTTGGGAGAACAGACTTCAGCCATGTGGCATTAGACCCCTACCAAAATAAAAGAGACCATTTAAATATTTCACTCTGCAGATTCCTGCCGATTATAAATTCTGTCACTCGTGTACTTCAAGATGCTCAAGATCAGAGATGGGCAAACTAAAGCCTGCATGCACCCATCCCTTTTTTCCCCCAGCCTCTGAAGACCACCTTCCCCCTCTCAGCAGCCTCACTGAAAAACAGAAGTACGCTTTTCAATTTAAAAAGAAGTCAAGCAAGAACATATACTGAACACTACGTAGGCAAAGCACATGTATTTTGCTTAAATAAATGAACTTAAATCCCCAAATTGGAAAGGGCGGTACTGAAAATTTCAGCCCCACCCTCTCCAATGATGTAACTGGACTACTACAGTACCCAAAACTACAGAGGCTAAAAACAGTAGAAATACTGTTAGGCAATTGATAAAAAGATTTCTTGCCCCTGCTCTAAACAGAGAATCATTGGACAGAGGGTGGCAAAACCTGCTCTAAGTTAGGTGGAGAGACCACAAGAGCAGTAATTTGAATCTAGTCTCCCTGGAACTTCTGTTACTCTTTAGGCAGCTTTTTCCAGTTAGGTGCCCTCCTATATGTATTGGATGTTAACATCTATAAACAGAATTTGAAGATAAAATTCTATAAACAGAGGTTGAAGATGGAAAAGCAGCTAGTTCTGAAACATTGATCTACACTTACTGACAGGAATTTTCTCAGCTTCCAGGCAGGAATCTTTCCATGCCCTGTTCAGAAATAGAGAATTTTTGTATGCAAAGCATGTATTCTGCACTGAGCTATGTGTATTCCACCAAGCATTAAGCCATAGTTCTTAGTCCAGCAGGAACCTTTTGGTAGGTCATGGGATTCAGGTTGGAAGGTGATGAGAGTAGGCTTACTGAAGACTCAAGTCTACCTATCCCCCTTTACTGTCAGCATATGACTTCACAAGGTAGATACAAATGGCTACCTGAGTTTAAGCCTGTTATCTGTTTCTCCCAATCACCCATTTGCTAAAGAACAAAGCTTTCTCACTCAAAACTGGAAGAGGTTACTAGATGCCCCAAGATCAACAAGGCATCCAGACTGGAATTACAGGACTGGAGATGCAGACTTACGTTCTCTGTGCAAAATGTGTACAAAATGGAAGCATTACGTCGGACAAGTTTAGACAATTGGTTTTGCTGTTCTGAAGATCTGAAGCTGACTTTCTTCTTCATAAGCCTGAAAATGTACTCTTGGACTAGATGGAGGTGAATTTTTTGCATGACAACCTGTAGCAGAAGCAGCAAGTGGTTAATTCTCTGAGATCAATTACAGGGAAGAGACCAATTCTACTGCCAGAGTTATAAAAGTGCCATTGAAGACTTTCCTGATGTACATAACTATTCTTAAGACAGCATGGTTTCTATGGCCTGTGGAGAAGTGCTCTAGAATAATGGTTGGAAACTGTTTTTTAATGCATTTCCTTGAAAAAAATCATTTGAGGCTACATACCAGTGATGTGGGTAGGGTAAGAGCTGACGGTGACAAAGAGAGAGCTGAAAGTAGTCAGAAATTACAATATTACAGAATTATAGGGTGCTCTCTCTCTCTTCCTCTGAGCAAGAACATGTCTCCTCTCTGTATTACTCCATCCAACTCTGACTTGCCTCTCTATCTGTGGAAGCTGCATGAAATTTCAGCAGCAAGGGAATGGTGACTAGATTTACAAATATTTTTGGTGGCAAGACTGAGTGTTTAGCAAAATTGAATCTTGCATCTTTCCCGAGCCACTATACTCTGTACATTTTATTCCAGTTTCATAACTAAAATAAAGAAGCTTCTTTAGGAACATAGGAAGATGCTTTTTATCAAGTCAGACCATTGATAAATCTAGTTCAGTGCTGGATACCCCAGGGATGAGCCATATGTGGCTCTCCAGCTGTTGCTGAACAAATAATTCCCAGCAGCCCCATCCAGAGTGACTAATAGTGAGGGGTGCTAGGAATCACAGTTCAGTAACAGCTGGAAGGCCCTGTATGGCACACTCTAAGTCTACACTGGCTGGCGATAGCCATACAGATTTTCAAACAGATGCTTTTCCAGCACTACCTAGAGATGGTGAGGATTAGAAACTTGGAACTGCGGTATGCATGACATGAAGTCTGCCACCAAGTTACAGTCACTGTAGATTATTAATAATTCATAGAAAGCTTTTAATCTCCTGTTTGTAGTTTTTTACTCAGCATATAAACTGGAGTCATCTCATATTATAATGAATTTCCCATGTCATTGGATTTTAAGTTTGTTGTTCTTTGGTAGTTTGTTTTGAAAGTATTAGGATGATTATAATTATTATGATTATGATGAGAAATAAACAATAAAACTGCTCATGCTGCTCATCAAGCAGTTCATAATCCCAGGAACACAGAAGATTATTTTAGGAATGCATAAACCATCAATTTGACAGGCTAACACAGGGAAGGGGTGTCTGTTAAACCAGAATGTCTGTTAAATCTGATTGGGATTTACTCATGCATTTTGTATGTAATTTATTCATGGATATTTTAAATATCTTACACATTTTATGCATGCATAAAATAGGAATGAGATTTTATACAGGTGTATTTTACACATGCATAAAATGATAGACAGGATTTATGCATGCACAGATTCTGACCGCCGCATCTGATGTCTGCTAAAACAAAGTTCACTATACTGAGGATTTACTGTCCAAAAGTAGGAAGTGAAACAAAAGGGCCTTTGCTTGGGAATTTGTACTGGATTTTGGAAACAAACTGTAGAAGCTGAATCTTCTCACCAGTCGCTGCCTTTTTAACTCAGATCAGGAGCCTTCCAAAGCCATAAAGAGAACAGACAAATTCTGACTGAAAGCCTAGTATTTAAACCTTAAGCACAGATCTATAGATAGGCCTTGATTGCTGTGTACTAAAATAGGGAATTTTTTGGTTAGTATATGGCATTATTTTCATTTGCAATAAAGAGACTAATCTTGTCAAGTTATGTCCATGAGCCTTCTGCCAAATAAGCCAATTCATGAATAAGGGATTGAATTGCTGGAAAGCCAAGATTTACAACTGAGCATGGTGTGAATCCATTAAAAAAAATAACAACAAGCCAGAGTCTTCTAAGTCCAAAAGAAAAAAAAAAGAGGCTCCTATGTTGGATTTATAGAATGGGACTCCAAGTGAGATCAGCACCCTTGAGCCAATCCAGGATACCTTGACCTGGGAAACCTGGAGTGCTGCCACATATTTTTCAAAAGTAGATGGAAAGAAGATTTAAAGAAGGAAAACGTAATAGGCCCACCGTTTTGTCACTCCTAGGGATTCCAAAGATACACTTGCTATAATTGCAAAATGAAGTGGGGGGTGGGGAGGGATTTTTGCTGCCTGAAAAATGCTGGATATTTCTCTGCTTCCAAAAGGACAATTTCTCCCATCCAAGTAGCAACCCATCTCTCATGTTCTCAGATCAGGACTTCAGCAAACATGTAGACTGGACTAATCTAGCCTTTAATCTTCAGAAAACCCAGAGTCCTTTTCTTGTTGTCAAACTAGCTGTGTTCTTCATCTGACTCCATCAGGGATAATATGTTGGAATCCAAACCCAGACAAGAGATATTTTTAGAACTTGGGGTGAGGAGTTTACCTCTTTGGGTTGAGGTCATCTTGATGTTAATGAAAGGAAAACAGCCGATCTCAGCCTTTAACCTGTAAGTTGTAATAAAAAGCCTTCAAGTTTTCCCTCTCCCCTGATGTAGTTCTCAGCAGCTTTGTAACATTTGCACTGTTCTAACATTTGGACGCAGAAAACGGTTATTTCAGAAAGCTGTAACTATGTGCGTACCATCTGCACTAATTCCATTTCTACCCATTGGTACGCTGGCTGTGAAGGCTTTTGTAATGTTTCAAAACCATGCAAAACGTGTTTGATGGGGACAGGTAGCCATGGAAATACATGTGCATGCCATGAAAAGCAAAGCTTTTTGTAAAACCACATTTAACTCTTAGTTGTCCACCTCAAAAATTGGCTCACTTCACTCTTAGTGCTAAATTTTGAAAACCATAAAAATGTTTGCATTTGCAGTTCCTTGTATCAACTTACCTGGCGATGAGGCTTTTTAAGCATTTTGAATAGACAGGTACGGGCTTCCGTGACTGAAATTATTTCATCCATAACATCAGTGCAGAAGGCCCATTTCTTCTCAGTAAACTTTTTAAAAAGAGGCTGAGGAACAAATGTTAAAAACTTGAGTTTTTCGAAAAGCAAATTCTTATAAATCCCCCTTCTTTCTTTGGGGAAAACCATATTATTAGGTATTTTTCAAGCACCATCTAATTCTATCACTTTGTTACATGACTGGGAAAAACTACAAACTAAGACAGTTCTACTGTCCCTTCTCCTTCATGGCTCAAGCATCATAGAGAGGTGGGGAAAAGACTCCATTGCTCCCTTAATGCACATTATAATTTATTTATTAGAAGTATTTACATGCAACATTTCCCATACCTCCTTAAGATGGTTACAGACTTGTTTTATTACTTTTTTGTTCACTTTCTAAAAATGTTTCCCTGGGAGACAACATTTTGCCACTGAAGATTAAAGATACTAGCAAGGCTAACTATTCCATCAGGGAGAATGGGTAGTCCTTTGGGGTGATGACAGACTTGGGGCTATTTGTCTTAATTCCTCCCCCCCTGCCACCACTGCCCTCCAGTGGAAGAGAAAACTGTTTGTGTCACAAAGATTTTGTTTGCTTTTTGCAATAAGGTAGGATGAAGCTGCTTTTCCATCCTTAGAACCGAAGAGACAGTCATCCATTCACCGTCACTGAATGGGGAAGGTAGGTTTCATCTTATTCTTTGCCTCAGGCAGCAAAAGATCTTGGATGAGCTGTGTAAGGAGTGATGGAAATATATCTGTAGAAATATATAGCAATGGAAGTTTATAGTATATCTGTAGGAATACCTGTAACTCTCGAAACAAGCGGTGAAGGAACACATCAAACCCAATGTTCTGAAGATCATTAAGCGTAGAAAAGATTTTTGTTTTAACATCACTCTCAGCTGAGTCTGTGCTTTTCTCTGTATGGGTCCTGAAAGTCCAATAAAAACGAGTTAAAGGTTCTGTTCTTCAGTTTTAAAACATCAGTTCTTGTCTTTATGCCTGCAGCAGCTTACAAAATCCAGTGAACACAATAATAATGTTCTCTATAATTCTTAATAAAATGAGAACAACAACCATAGCAATCATCATGATGGTTACTAATGATAATTTATTCAATTTAGGTGTCACCCAACTCCAGGCAACTCTGGATAAGGGTCTGCACAGATTGTTCATGTGTAGCATTCAGTCTCAAAAGGAAGCAGCACCTGGCTAATGTCTGTTTTTGGAAGCTAAGTAGAGATGGGCCTAGTTAGTACTTAAAGGGGAGACCTCCAGGGAACACCAGGACTGTAAGGGAACTTGACTGAAAAATTTAAAAAAAAAATCCAAAAGAAAGCAATGGCAAACCACTTTCATATTGCTGTAAAACACAGAACTAGCCATGAAGTCGTTACGATTCAAGCTCAAAAATGGATGCTTTTCTTTTAGCATTAAATGAATACATTCATAGCAGATGGATATTTGAAGCTTTCTGAATCTTGGCTTTCGGCTTAGGGCTAAAAGATCTGGGCTGCAAAATCAAAACAACCATTCAACAGCAGCAAAGAGATATTTATTTATTTACTGAACTTCAATGAATGGGGTAATAGAGGAATTAAACATTGTGCAACATTTTGTACAGATGTGATCCAGGAGGAAATAATGATAGATAACATGAATGCAGGGTGGAAATAAAGTAAGAGTATACAGAAAAAAACATTTGGCCTTTTGGAGACACGGGAATGAATGAGAATAGTACCTGCTTAGAAAAAGATCTGTTCTGAATAAATAGTTTAGTCTATTCATATGTACACCTGGAAAAAATGAATCATAAATCCTGATTGTTTATGGTGAATGACTAGAAAAGTTAATAAAGGATACATGGATGTCAGGCCTAGCCCAAGGAACTCCTA